CGGCTAAACAGTTCAAGGAATTGTTCTGTTCAGTTTGTTACTTCTTTGCACCGAGTAAATCACGCCATGAGATTTTAACGTTGCCGTTAATCTTCATAAGTCTTCACAAACCTCGCTTTTTCCTTGCATGGTATTGGATAAACTTACAATTCGAGAAGGCGAGACTAAGTTGGGTCACGCGGTTGAAATAAAAAAAGCCAATAAATAAACAAACATATGAATGAATATCTTGATAAATGAAGTATATTTCGATAGGTCACAAACCCTGAGAGCGAATTAAAGGCGTAGATGATGTATTTGGCCGGGAAAGGGGAACAACCATTATTTTCACCTTATTAATGTTCATCTCTGTTCATTCATTTGTTTATTCATTTACTCAATTATTTGCTCTTTAATTTCTTTTATTTTCAGAAGGTGCTATGTTAAACTCAGAGCTACCAAGTCGAAACTTACCTGTTGTCATAACTGAGGCAAGTGTTTGTATCGCATTGTGCATCATAAGCGTCACTGGAAACAGTCTGGTTTGTATGGCAACATGCAGAAACTCAAACCTGCGATCAACCACCAACCTGTATATCATTGCTTTAGCTGTCAGCGATCTGCTGTGTGGAATAGTAGAGATGCCGTTAGCTTCTACCACGCTGATCTTCGGTAGATGGGTCTTTGGCGACGCCCTATGCCAATTTCAAGGCTTTGTTGATGTATTTGCCTATTATGTTACCCCAGCAACCCTTGGTTTGACAGCGTTAAACCGCTACATGAAAATTGTAAAGACAAGCCATTACAAGAAGATTTTTTCGCCCCGCAGATCTAAGATATGGTTGAGTTGCTTGTGGCTTTCCTTTGCACTTTACCTGCTGATTGTCCGCGTCACAAATTGGATTAAAATCGATTTTATTCAAGATTACGCAGTGTGCTCCTTTGATTACCCAACCAGTGAAAGTCAAATCTTTCATTATTGCATCACTGTTGGATTACTTTTTGTCTTACCGTTGTGTGTCGGCATTTTCAGTTACTATAAGATATTTCTGAAAACTAATAAGCATCAACGTAATGTAGTGTCGTCGCTACGGAACTGCACTAACATTACTGTAGTAAGCAACTCATTGAAAGAAACAAAAGTTACTCGAATGTTGCTCATTTTGGCGGCGGGATTTTTGTGCTGCTGGATACCAATGTGGGCACTTGTCCTCTGGTTTCGTTTTTCCCCTGAGACCAGCTCAAGAATTGCAGCATTGCTTGTCACTTTTTTATTTTATTTGAGTGCTTCAATCAATCCTATTATTTACGCTTTCACAAATGGCGAGTTCCAAAGGGAATTTCGCAAACTGCTTTGTTGCCGCCGTGAAAGGTCAAGAATTGTGCCAAAGAAAGCCCCTGCGATTATGGGTAACGATCTCGTCGAACGAGAGGAACAAGAAACAAACATTTAAGTCTAATGAATTTGTGTTAATGAAACATCCTCTTTTAAAAACAAGACGGAAGAGTCGTTCCATTCTTTTTCTCTAATTTAGTTATTGTTTGTCAAAGCAAGCTTCTTAGATGTCGAAAGCTGTGTTGCTCACACCAATTAATTATAAATTATTCATGGTGATGTCTCCTTGCCAAATGCTGAAAGGATGACATCAGTTCACTTCTAAATTTTGGATGGGTTGCGAGTACGAATTGAATAGATTTTACCATTCCTACGATGAAAATACGAGGAACCTAATTTGAATACAAAATTGAATAATCTGATGGCAAGCAAATATCGTTCCTTATGCTTCTTCGGAATTTTCTATTTAGTTAGTTAAATTTAATTAGAAATGAATTTTATTCGACTTTCCGTTTGTGAACAGCCAGTCACTAAAGCCCTGAGTTTCTTTTTCTGATGCATGTGATATAATCAGTAAATTATTTGCGATACTCGAACATAAGTTTTTTCTAAACCCATAATAAATTAGCACATAACGCTTTTAGTAGATTGGAGGTGACGCTCAGTCATTTATGAAAAACTTCGAGATGACCAGAAAAGCGGAGAGAGGTATGAAAAATAACTTATATTGCGAGCTTT